CTGGATCGGGGACGGGAACTTCCAGGGAAAGAATTGCAGGAAATGAGGATGGAATTGAGAGGATGACGGCGCCTCGGCCGGATACTCCATCGAATTGGGGAGCAAAGGAAGGAAGCAGAGGCGATTGGAGGAGTGGCATTTGTTTGATTCCAAGAAGTAAGGATTGCAATTGTGCGTGAGCTTTGATTCAAACATGCATGCATACATGGGATCGGTTAAAGAGTGTGGAGAAACAAGAGTGTCTGGATAGGGATTTAATTAAAAGGGGTAAGGCTAGAGGTTCTGCATGAGCATTTAAAACTGCTACTACCAAACCAGAAAGTTAGGCCACTGCATTTAAACCGATACTCTCTATGCAATGCCAGACCAGAAAAGAGCAGCGGTATAAATGAAGTAATCTCTCTAGGACGGACACCATCTAACATTAATACCCGAGGAGATATCCGTTTACATGTGAATTTTACGAGGTAAGAAGATTACAAGGGAGAAGAGAGAGAGAGAGAGAATAAGAAGAAGAAAGAAGAAGGATGAGCAGGGAGGAGGAAAGGAGAAAGAAGATGAAGTTTGACTGTTTCAGAGAGAACCCAGATCTGGGTTTGTAAAGGTAAAGAAAAAGAAAAGGTGAAGGAGAGAGAAAGTGAAAGAGGAAGAAGAGATGACGTGAAAAAAAAAAAAATTTAAATTAAATAAAAATGTCAAACTCAAAAAAAATTATGATCAATTATTATTATTATTTTTTTTTATAACCAACCGCCTGTGGCCCCATGCTTAGTTCCAAGTATTAAGGCTAAAGTCTTGGGTGAGGCAGAGGTTAAGGTTTTGAATTCTGCTGTTGTCATGAATTCCACTAACTTATAATTTAATGGTCGCGTCTCATATGAGGGGGTGTAATGTTCATCATCTTAAAAAAATTTTAGCTGCTAACAAACTAACTTTACTAACTTTTTAACCATTTACCCTGATTAAAAAAATATATTATTTTTTTATGTCATTAGTTAAGAAAAAAAGGTATTAAATTATTGATAAGTTAATGTGTTATCTGTCTTTTTAATTTTTTTAATTGACGAAAGAAACATTTTGATATAGAAAATCAAAATTTAAGAATAATTTTGATACTTTTTAAAATTAAAATATAATTTTAGTGTTAAAGTGAAAAGTTGAAGAATGAAAATGATATTTAAACCTTTATACTATACACTAGGTGGTTTGAAGAAGAAATGGGCCGAACTCCTCTTTCATGGCCCAACTATTGGGTTCTCTGGGCCCATCACATGTCCTTTGGGTCCGAGATTGGGCAAGCCCGAAGATTCACTCATCTTCTTTCCTCCCGCCAGAGACGAAAAGTAGCTCGCCTACGTGCCGAACGCCGACCGGCCACCAGCGTTCCTCCAGAGAGTAATGATGAACTCTGTGGGGATGCTCGACGATTGGTTTTTACAGCAAAGGGAAGCTCCACTACAGCCTCAAACAAATCAAGTATCGGATTTTCGTAGCAGTTTTCTCATCATCACCAAAAAAATCCTTTAAAAAAATGTTATACAGTTAAAAATGTAAAATTTAAACAATTAGATAGAAGCGGTTCGTAATATCAAGGCTAACGTACCAAATCAATTTTTTCTCATAAGCTTAGAGGCCTGGATCAATTTTTAAAAATGTAAAATTGTAACGTAATTCTGTTAAAACTAATGCTGGGCACATTAAAAGGGCCTCACTTGACATTTCAAGCACTCCAGCTCATCAAATTTATACTAAAAAAACAATCATTAAAGAAAATTTTAAATTAACTTTCAAAATATTTCGAATTTACAAAACATGCCCCAATCCCTCATCATATTTAATTAATGTTTAACATTTACAATTTAAGTTAGCAATGTAACATAAATTAATTAATAAAAATGTATTATTGATTAAAAAAGGGTCACCAAAACATATGTATAGTATCAGCTAATTTAATAAGGATTTTTTAATATATACCCTTAAAACA